CATAGATTTATATATAGATTTCATACAGATACATTCTTGTAATTTATTTGATCTACTTTTAATTGCTATATTTTTATTGTTGCTGTTACTTTTGCTCTTTGTACGGTGTCCTTGAGTGCCAGAAAGGCGCCTTTGAAATAAAATGTATTATTATTATTATTTATTATTACAAAAAAAGCCATGTACACACTGTACATCCCAACCAACACAAAGTTGTAGAGACACTGATCCACATACAAAGACATTACTGTGTCGAGTAAAATAAAAAGGTGCTGCATTCCCTGTTCGGTCTGGCCACACCACTTCATCCACATCAGAGATAGCAGAGGAATCCAACATGGACAGTCCAGCCATGAATGTCGTCAACTGCAATATCTCCACATTCATCTTTCATAGCTTACAGTAGGGGTATAGGCATTTGTGAATTTAGGTCATACACTTGGCAACTCTAGGCAGAAAAAAAATATTCTACTGGACTGAGGAATGGAGAATATGGAGGGAAATAACTGAAAAGTGTGGGTGGGCAGTTATGAACCATAGCAGCCCGTAGGAAACTTGCGTTGTCCCAAATGACAACTGACTGATCTGGTGAAATGAGTGTGTTGTGTGTAGGGTCTCCAGGATTGTAATCTGTTGGGGCCCGGGGCCAAGGGCAGCATGGTGGTAGGTAACAGCTGTCTTTTTGTGAAGTTGAATCCAACCTCATCAATGAAGATGAACTGGTGCTCCACTGAAGCCTCCTCTAGTTCAAGGGCGCTCTGAAACACAGGACTATCAGAAATAGATATGGAGTGGTCGCTGTTGTGAATTATGACGATTGCAATACTGAAATATATACAATATATACACTGTAACTGTCGTTACAATACTGTACTTGTATCAACTACTCAGCATCCACTACAAGAGATTTTTTTTCTGCCAACTGCCATTATTATCTACAGTAACTCTGAAAAATTTGAATTAATATGAGTTACAAGAAAATTTAATTTCCCTTTGGGATTAATAAAGTATTTTTTAATTTTACTCGATTGTGGGATTATATAGGACTTACTTGCACATAGTTTTACCACAATTCTTTGATTCTTCCTTGTCATGCGGTGTGGTTTTAAAGTAGCATTGAAATGCAAGAGCGGCAGAAGCAGAGAGTTAAGGATGAATGTTTAATATAAAAAATTATGAACAAAACTTACCAAAAATTACAGTGCCAGTGTATAAAGAGAGAGAGTGAGGGAAAGAGCGAGAGAGAGAAAGAGAGATAAAGAGGGAGAGAAAGAAAGAATGAAATGGAGAGAGAGGGGGATGAGGAAATTAACGCTAAAGAAAGAGTGGACAAAAGGAACATAGAAAACTAAAGCACAAGAATAACTAAATACAAGAAATAAAATAGAATCACTCACTAATGACTAAAATAAAGTAAAACATAGAACAAAATCCACAACAAAATCTTTTCAAATGTTGAACTGTAGACCTGATTCATCCTCAGATTATTTTTGTGCAAGACATGGTCCAGTCTTGATAAGCTTACCCTACACTGTAAAACATTTGAGCTGCACATAGTGTGTCTACTATCTTCTATTGTTTAAGTCAAATAAATTTAGCAAGTTCTAAATTTTGAACCTAAATGTGTGATTAAGATAAACTTAATAAGTTGTGTTAACTTTTTATTAAACCTCCAAGAGTTGGATAGCACTTAAAAAAACTGAAAGAAGAAAAGGATGTGAGTGGGAACTATTTCCCAGTGTGTTTAGCAGCACTCTAAGAAATAATCCTCTAAATTCACAGTAACATACTGGCAGCTATAGACGCCAGAAGTTTACTGTAAATCCACAGCAGCTGTACCGTAATTAATCCTGACGGTAGATTACCGTTCTGTGAAAGAACGATAAAATACAGGTGTCTGTAGCTGCCAGTAGTTTACCGTTTTTTCTGAAAGAACGATAAAAAAAATACTGGTACCTACAGACACCAGGTGTTTGTTTTTTTTACCATTCTTTCAGAAAAACGGTTTAAAAAAAAAAAAAAAAAAAACCGGCGTCTGTAGATACTATTATTTTACTGGACATTTACCTTTTCAATCCTGTACCTTTTAAAGTGGTGTACTGTAAGTAAATACTGTAATGACGCCAACACACCGCAGATGTGGTACCGTCAACAGGGTTTATTAGAAATAAAAGCGAGCTGCTATTCCTTAGGCTGCAGCTCGGCCCTTTAACAAACCGATACACTCAATTGAATAGCTTCACTGCTAACACACTGAACTCTCTGCTCTTCCGGTGTTCTGTCAGCATCGGTCCTGGTCCTCCCGCTCCCCTGATCCCTTGCCCATATGACAGGTCCATCACATGTGAGGGGGAGTCAGCAGTCAGACAGGGGAAGCCCATAACACTCTACACATAACAGTGATCACAATGCAACTTATAACAAATACACATAACCATATGGAGCCCAGCAGAACTAAAATACAGAATCGTTAAAATACTACGGTGGCCGACAGGTGCAAACGCACAGCAAACACGAGAAAAACAAGTAGAACAAAGGCGCAAACAAAAAAGACATTCAAAATATACATAACAATAAGTGTTCCAGACCACTAGAGCTTTGTGTCCGAGTTCAGGGTCTGCATCCTTTCAAGCTTATTCTGCCATGGGCTTGAGAAACGACCCGGTCTACGGAAGAGGGGTCCTGCGAAGGCAGAGAGCATTGCAGAGAGAAGCTGTAGCCTTCAGCTAGCTGCCTAGCCTCCACCTCAGCGTTTAGCAACCTGAGATTTGGAGAGTATTTGAAAAGGGATTCAGGAGAAAAAAAAAAAAAAAACAACATACTTCCAGTCCGTTTTTTTTTCCTTCGCCGCTATATGATTCACGTTGTCACGGCTGCTAAGCAACATAACGCCACGGTAGAGGCTAAGCAGCTAGCTGAAAGCTACAGCTTCTCTCTTCCGGTCCTCGAAGACCCAATGATGCAAAACCTGACTTCGGACACAGCTGTTCTTTGTTCGACTCCCTCTAGTGGTCTGGATCACTTCTGTTTTCAGCATTTTTTGTTTGCATCTTTTTTGTTGCATGTGTTTTTTGCGTCTTTGCACCTGTTGGCCACCGTAAAATACAGTGGTGAAAGTTAATATACCTTCAAATAGTAGCGTTCCAGTATTTTTACTGTAAATTTAGTTTTACTACTGCATTCACTTTATGAGTAAGCTACTGCAAAGAAAACTGTAATGCTACTTTTTAAAGTACAGTCTTAGTTTTATGATAGGACATTAATACCCAATCCAGTGTAGGCTTCTTAGAAGTGCTACAATTGGTGCGGTTCTAAAATGCAAAATCTGCATAATCAGAACTTCACATAACACAGAAGAGGATGTGATAAGCAACCTTCAGAACATAATTTTTATTTAAAGGCACCACTATGCCTCAAACCACATATATTTCCAGTATATTGAAACATTCAAAACAAATAACAAAACCATTCCTCAGAGAACTGGTAAAAAAAATAGGCCTTCAAAGTCCATATATAGTTTCACTAACACTGGAATAAAAATTTAAGACTTTAATTTTACAGCGACATAAACTGGGTTTAACTCATTAATTTCTACAATCTTATGAACATAAAAACACAGTTCTTAAAGAAATGCCCATGCTTTGGGTATCACTAAACAAATCAAAGAAAAATTACTTCCAAAATCTAAAATTCAACATGGCTGAAATAATGTGGAATTCTAGTATTAACAGGGTTTTAAAATGTGAACCATTAATGGTTTTCAAGAGTCCAAGTGGCACTTACTTTATTAGATGCAGATGAAGGCACCGTCCAACATGGAAAAAGAAGAGACAATATAATTTAGATCCTAAATAATATGAAAACAGAAAGATTTCAAAGAATAGAAAAGGACAACAACTAACCTGAATGAGTTGCCACTCAAAGTCCATCAAGTTTTTGATGAGCGTGGAAACCTGAACATTGACTGTCACTTTTTCTTTTGAATGGTCTTTCCTGTCTTTCTGGATACCATTTTTCCATGACCGGCTTTTGTGCCCCTTTCTGGGTTAATCCCAATGAAGCGACTAAAAAACAAAATCAAAAATGGGAAAATTCCTGAGAATATAAATAGTGTGGCATTTTGAATACAGCTGGTATAATATATAAATAAAGCTGTTTTTAATTACGTAAAGAGAAAACATCACCACCTTTGACAAATGTTAATCATAACTTGCTTTAAAACCATGTCATTGTAAAAAAAAATTTATAAGAATGGTTTTACCGTTGAATGAATCAAAGTCTTGGCTGCCTCATGTTGATATTGGAGGCTGAAGATGAAGAAGATGGAGAACGCTGTCCTGTCTGGAATGTTTGCTGGACCCTCTCAAAGACAATATGGCCTTCAATGCAGAAAACTGCTTGCCACAGGGAGTGTAATAAAC